CTTGAGGGTGAGAGAAGGGAGTTAAATTCGAAGTAACCTAAATGAAAGAGGCGAATGGGAGTTTCATTTGTAGTTCGATTCCCCAATAAAGCATTTATTTGAGAGACAAACTTGTAGTATAACTAAGCTCCTAACTAAGCATAGCTTGAGTTTGAAGAAAAATCGAAAACTCAGGTAGGTTGAACAGGTAATCGGTATAGTAACTACCAGTAGCGGCTCGGTCATCTTGACTTTGGTCTTGTCACCGGTTTAAGCGGTGGAGGGTTAGAGTGAGGTAGACAGTTGTACGTTTATTTCACTATAATCTCGTAATTAACTCCTATCACCGTCTCTGCTCTTGCGTACATGGTGGATCTCATCGAAATCGATGGCCATACAACACACACCAGTAGCCGTAGAGATAAGTTGTGAGGAAGTACCCCGGGCTCACTGACCAACAGTGATCAAAAGGATATAAGAAGAGCGGTCAAAGGGATCCAACATGGGATTCCACATGGATACCCGTTATGTCGTCCTTTTGAAATGGAGCAGCTGAGTTTCGCTATCCAAATGCATTTTTTAATGTTTCCCCTGACAAAGGGATTTTGTAATTTTCCCTACAGACGCCAACTTCTTATTCTCGTTTAGCCGTACTTATCGATGGCATCGTTTATTGACAACGCCAACACGCTTTCGAAGACGAGATAACGCGGTCAGATCAGATCGCCAGAATACGCACGTAAGTAATCCGTCACCGGTTCTTTGTCGATACCGATCACATGATGATGCTGGTCATTCAACTGGTTTAGACGCCAACAAGAAAAAAAAATCGCTCAATTCGGCTATACTGTCATGTTGATTGAATCATTTTTCGGTCGACTAACTTATCATCAAAAAGGGGCGCCCTCCTCCCACTTCCTAGGATAGTTCGTCAGGTGTACCTGAAGTACACAAGATTGATCAAAAAATATTATGTTATACCTTCTTTACACAGTTATCGAATAGACTGCACAACTTACTCTACTGGTTCCAGAAGGGTCTCACGGAAAGCTACCTTCGGCTTGCCAAGAATACAGGGTGCATTGTACTCGCGGGCCAAACGCTGAGCATAGATTTCCAGATGAAGTTCACCCATGCCGGAGACAAGGGCCTGTCCACTCTCAACATCATGTTTCAACCGGAAAGTTGGGTCTTCTTTTGTGAAGCGGGCAAGACCTTTGCTGAAGGCATCGACGTTGTGTTTGTCCACCGGTGTGATGGACATGGAAACGACTGACTCGGGAATGAACATTGATTCCTGGCAAAGTATAACACAACAGGAATGAGATTTTCAGTCTAAGGGGGACGCTTAATCTCTCCAAAACAAAACAAAACATGACGGGACAGGTAACAAACATAACATTCGTTGATGGACGTTCACCGATCGCTAAACGAACGCAATCGTCCCGCTCTGCCGTGGGGTTCACTTTCCAGTCGCGCTAACGGCAGATGAGTCCGTGGCTTAATGGTTAGAATGTCGGACTTTTGATAAAAAGGGTCGGGGATTCGATCCTCGTGTGGTGCACCACTTGGAGATGAGTATGACTAGCCGACGAGCTATAAATGGTTATTCCAGTCTTACGCATCTTTATCGATGATGTCCGTTTGTCCAAACATGACATTGTAAAGGATTGATCATCTGATCACTCTCGGGTGGCAAAAGGGAGTACGAACTTAATTTTGTCGAAAAATCTCCCCTTTCTGTTTCTTCTTTGCTTTGGCTGATCATCATCTAAGGAGACTAACCCAATCAATTAGGTTTGAAATAAATAGGCAAACAATTCTGAGTACCTTGGGAATATAACGAACCGAATCAAGGTAAGGGCTATTGCACTGAGTAACGTCGAAAACCTGTGAGCAAATCAAAACTGCGCCTACTTAAATACGCTTAGTAGGCATTAAGTATATGTTAAAAGTCATCCGCTACCATCGTTACTTCTGCCGACTGATCATCTTACCACTCTCGAGAGGCAAAATGTAGTACAAACTTAATTTTGTCGAAAAAGTCGCCTCTTTCTGTTCCGTTGTTTTAAGTGGCCCTTGCTGATCATAATATAATGCGACTAACCCGACCAATCGGGAATATTAACTTTGTACAGGAAGTCGGAAGCCGAAGGAAGTAAAATTGCGAGCACTGAACAAACAGATCTTACAGCCTGGCCTCACTGACCTCTTCGTCGGCATTACAGTCGACTTGCACGATAAACCATGCCAAAAGGGGGTTGTGGCTCATTTAAAAAAAAAA